GTCACGGACACTACGTCCATGTTTTTATACAGTCTATGATACGCACTGATCTCGCGTCCTTCAAAGATTAACATAGTGTAGTATGCATCTATCTGATCCGTGCAGTTTAGTATGCACTGGTCTCACATCTGTCTGTTCACTGTAGTTTAGTACACACTGGTCTCACATCTGTCTGATGAGTGTAGTTTAGTACGCACTGGTCTCCAGTGGCAGCAGCAGCTGGTCATGTGAATGGTGTTGAGGCGGCTCGGGGCTGAACGGCAGTCATGGGCTGTTGCTGGACGCTTGTGTTCGGAGGATCATATGAACCTCTGATTATTTATGATGATGTTTTACAGTCAAGAATGGAGAAATTTCCCAGGAATGAAGGATTGCTTTTTGTCAACTTTGGCTGTTTCTGATTCGCGCTTCACTTCAACAGCACTTTCAACAGTTTACTTCACATGCTAACCGAAGCTAACTCAAATCAATGCCAGACTTCCCAGACTCTTCAAGGGGTTCGTGATGACATTTTTATTTAATTTAATTTCAGTTTTACATTTCACTTTATTTTGTCGACACACGTGAATATGTGAAGTTTTTATTTCCGGAAATCAGAGAGTTTAATATGAATTCATCAGTGGATTTATCGCTGAAGAAAGCGCTGAAAACTCCTCCGACACGACGAACTGCTGAGGTAAAAACACCCACAGAAATACTTTATCATAACAGATATGAGTAAAAACACCACGTTAGAATGTCAATAACTCGCGCTAAACAGCTTATTAGTTTCGATTCAGGACTCAATTCAGTAGATCGTTACAAAGATTCATGAACTAACGTGTCTCGTGCTCGATGTTTGACTTCATATATTTGACTGCAAGTTAGCTGTTTTATTTATTTGTTTGGGGTCTCTGGTGTTTTTGTATTCTTTATTAGTTTATTTATGTTGTACGATGACAGATGTTCAGCTACTCCACAGACTTGTTCTCAGTGAGCAGAGTAAAACTGCAGTACTTGATCAGTACACATTAGCGCAAAGTGTAAACACTTGAAAGTAGTTTTATGTTTCGTTTATTAATGACAGAAATCAATGAAACTTTACTGCATTCCAGCACATGTGATTCACACATCTGGATCAAAGCTGAGCAACACTACACAACAGCAGCATTAGCAATTTGTCTACTTGATTTAAAGTAAATCTGGGTCATTGTATTAAAATCATTGTATTAAAAGCCTGTCGTAAGTTTGGCCTAAGACAGCTCAAATATCAGTTCGAAGTACAAAGGTTTGTTTTATTACAGAGCTCAACAATAAGATTTATTTTCGCCCAGCCAATAGTTCACTGCAGAATGATGACAGGGTTTCTGTGGGTCTTGCAAAGTCTTAAAGGGGTCATATGATGTTGCCAGTGGTGGAAAGAGTACTGAAAAAATATACTCAAGTAAAAGTACCATTACCTTCCAAAAAATGTAGTGTGAGTAGAGTAAAAGTACTTGTCCAAAAAACTATTTGAGTAAGAGTAAAAGAGTAGCCTATTTAAAAGTACTCATGAGTATTGAGTAGTGAGTACTGAGCTGTGGATTCTACCCCCTCATAATAAACACTGTACACCGCAATTTATACAATTGTTATGCTGATAATACAATTTGTAAGAATGCATTATATATTTCTGGGGAAACTTTTTCAAAGGAAAACACACACACACGCAAGTCTCTTTGCTGAGCCGCGGCGGTCTCGGTGAATCAGCAGCATCCACAACTGAATGGAACAAAAAGTGTTGAACGGAAGTCTGTTGCGCATAACCCCTATTGTTTATGCGCGAGTGCACTTGCTAAATGAAGGCGGATTGTATAAAATGGATATAAAAAAAAACGTTCATTAACGAATTTTATTACATCACACGCTGGCACAGATGCGGTATATTAACGCCACGAGTCATCAATAAGGTGCAGATTGGTCCTCAATGGAAGTTTCCAACACACTTTTTCACAGTGCGCATCACGTGCTCAAACTCATCAAAAGTCAACAAGTTCAACAAGCAACAACGACTTATCCAAGTGAC